AGAGTTTTCAAAATCAAGCTTGATGAGTTTATGTTAGAGATTCGCGATAAAGAAATATTTGGGAAAATTAATGCATGTATGTGTGCTCATTCATTCGTTATTTATCTATTAATGTTGATCCATTACTCTCTTACCTCATTGAACTAATATTCATTTTCCACTATTTGCATCTTGTTGTACAGATGTCAAAGCAATTGAATGGCAAAAGCGGGGTCTCCCTCATGCACACATATTGCTTTTTTTGTCCTCGGAGAATAAATTTCATGGTCCTGCGGCTATTGATTCCATAATTTGTGATGAAATTCCAGATCTTGATCTTGATCCTGAACTATATGCAGTTGTCACAAGTTCAATGATGCATGGCCCGTATGGTACAGTACATCCTAATAATGTGTGCATGAAGAATGGGACATGTAGTAAGCATTACGCCAAGGAATACTCTTCTCAAACAACTATTGATGAAACTGGGTTTGCTAAATATCGTCGGCGGAACAATGGTAAAGTTTTCAACTGTGGCGGGGTTGATCTGGATAATCGATGGGTTGTACCCTACAATCGATATTTGTTACTACGATTTGGAGCGCATATCAATATTGAATTTTGTAACAAGACAAGGTGTGGCTGAAGTAGATGATTGATGATAATTGTTGGTGATTCATTATTCATAAAAGAATAATTATCATTTAAATGATGTGATGATAGTTGAACAAGATAATATAATTCAAAATTGAATAATAGAGAGGTGAATTGATCCTAAGAGGAGAAAAGCTAAGAGAAAAAACAAAGAAAAAAGAAAAAATATTAAATTAATAGAAGTAAATAATTTGGAGTTGAGTTTAGATCACAAGTTTACACAGCTAATTAGTAATTACTAAGCTGAAAAGGAAAACAATGAATAATAATATGGCACACCATGAAATTTGGGCCCAAAGTGTTGTTAACTATCTTGTGGCTTATTAAACAATAATTCTATTTTATTTGATTTTAAAAGAGGCCCATAATGAAACTGTGTATTCTAAATTGGTATTAGGCTTTTTAATCTTAGTGGAGGCCCTTATTTTGTTGAGGCCCTTATTTACAAACCTAAACCTATTCTGCATACATATAAAAGACCACTACAGCTACATCCGTATATATATATATATATAAAAAATGGATGTCGAAAATAAGGTAACTAAACGAATAAATTTCTTTTTAATCATACGCCTTTTGTGGCATGCTGTATTTTCTCGATTTGCTTTGACCATATTCGTTTCTGTGTTTACATCAGGGCACCTCTTTTCTGTTATCCGGACGTGTAACGGATTTGACGACGTCCTGGTCCCCTGCATCCATAATCCATTTCGTCCACCTCATAATTGAGGACGATTTTATTGGTGTTGACATCGTCTTCCCGTCATCACAGTTACGAACGATTGTTGGATCTGTATTCAGTCATGCAGATGTTGTCAATGCTGACTATATGGCCCTTCTGAACATGCTTGGAGACAGACATTTGAAGTCATGGTCACAGTCGGTCCCTGGAACAATGCATTTGGTTATTGTGAACTTGTGTTGGTGAAATTATTTTTGCCTTTGTTGAATTGAGTACCATGTCATGAACAATGAGACAATGTCTTGAGTTTTCCTATTTTGGACCTGCATGTTATTTGTCGTAATACTCAACTAGATTAGATTTGTGATTAGTAAAATTTCATGTAAGTATTTTTATTTTGATTAGCTAATCTTCAAATGTATCCTCCTCATCCTTACAATACGTGTGTGAATGGTATGCTTTTTCCCTTAATTAAATAATGACTTTATTTCTAACTTATTGTGAATGTTCATTCAAATTACATGTTCGTCTTCAACGAATTGCAAAATTGCAACAATCTTATGATAATATAAAACAAGACTCATTTCTCGAGACTACCATTATAGATATTGTAACTCCATTTTCCTTAAACAATTACGGCCAACGGGCCGGGCTATAGGCTAGTTGATTTAAAGAGTAGTGTTACACAATCATTTCTCGAATTAGTTAATGAATAATTCTTTAATATTTTAATGACCTATGTAGTCAAAATCGCGTTTTAAAACTTAAAAACTTACGATTTTACGTTTCTAGGTCACTAAAACGTTTCTACACAAAATCTTAGTTTTTATAACTTATGTAGTTAAAAACTCCGTTTTAAAACTTAAAAACTTACGATTTTACGCTTCTGGATCACCAAAACGTTTCTACGTAGAAACTCGCTTTTGACTGCATTGTTAATGACCAGTTAATTATTTGATTAAATTTGTTAATGAATAATTAATTAGTTAGTGATTGATTTGATGATTGGTGTTATTATTTGGTTAAATTAGGTAATAATATAATTTGAACGTATTTATTGAGTAGTTAATTAAATTAGTTAATGGATAATTATCGAGAGTGTTTTAATGAATAATTTGAATTGTTTAAAAAATATAGATAATCTAGAATTTAGTGCACATCTAAGTATGATATGGTGTAAATTTGTAGATAATTAGATATTGATGATCATTGCTTAGAGCTTGAGTCTGATGAGGATCCCTAGGCCCATCCAGCCAAGCGTGGACGTGGACGGGAGCCGTCCTACACGGCTTCATCACGTTTGGCTATGTAAAGGGACCAAGGTCGGCAGTTCGTAGACCCTGCTCGGGAGGAGATAGAGAGCTCCTAGACTAGACGAAGTAGGAGAGGGCAGGAGTCGAGTGATCCTAACCTTGTTAGGAGCTTCCGTTGCCATGTCACATGCGCTTTGGACGAGGATTGGAGACGTAGGGGTCATCATTTGCTACAGTTGTACATGCGCGGTTCAGAATGGTGAGGAGGAGGAGCTGGTTCAGAATGCAGATCTCCAGCACTTGATGTATTGTATGTTCCGCAAGATATTGATTGACAAGGCTCTGATTTCAACTTTAATTTTGTGGAGAGGTGGCAACCAAACACCAATACCTTACACATGCCTTTTGGAGAGATGACGATCCTCATCCACGACGTTCTATACCTACTACAGATTCCTATAGAGGATCGACTGATTAGCAGGAGTCGAGCGGAGTGTGACTGAGCGGATGTGGGCTTGTGTGCACTTCTTGGGATGAACTCAGAGCAACTGCATGGCAGGTCGGAGGCCCCTAGTGTTTGGACCATTATGTTGCCATACTTCTTTAATACATATATGAAACTCGCAATTAGTACCTTTCGAACTAGAATTCCCACGCATCTCCTTCATAGGGTATGGTTTGTAAGACTTCTCGATCCTACTGCTTCTGTCGCAATACATATAGAGGGCAGTAACAGGATGCTCTGCTTCCGTATTCAGTTTCCATGCTCCTCTACTAATAAAGAACCCACACGATTAAGCGATTGCTTTTGCATGATCCACAGCTAACTCCAAAGTTGCATAATGGTTGTCCGTCTAAAAAACTGTGTAATTAGTGTCGGGCTCGAACCATTCTGACATTTTTCTTACAATTACAATATAACACATCAATATTAATGTGAAGCTAAACCTTACTCCCTAAATTCAACTCCTAAACTCTAAATTGGTGACTGTAAATGACTAGGCTGAAAAATTTTGGCCTACGCCAGGCCGAACCGAAGATTTTTCGTCGGCCCGGCCAGGTACTGGCAGTCGGATTCTTTCGGCATGGCCAGGTCCTGACCGCCGGAATCTTCTGGTCCTCCCGTCTGTCCGTTGAATCTCGCTAGAAAAATTGTTCGAAAATCCGGAAGTTAGAATACCTGTTTAGTGATGATTCATGGATGCATGTGCGCAGTTTACGTCGAGGTTCGGCTTCTCTGATGTGTTTTCTGGCGCGAACACGGTTTTTTTTAAGATTGAACATGTTTTCTGAAAGTTGGATATTTGTTGAGCTCGTGGAACCCCTCTATCGAAGAAGTATATATAACAAATTTCGAATTTTTTTTTAGTTGGCGGCAAATAGTAATGTTCATGGCGACAAATAACATGCCTCTTATTTTTTCTTGTTTTGTATCTAAGATGCAATTTTCCCCAATCATCACATCGATCAATTTTTTCTTGACCCAAATCGTCGTTCATTAACTAATGGTTGAATCCCCAATGACCCCATTTCCGACCATTTCAACCAACAAAATTGACTATGCTTAGCAACACGAACACCATGTCATCATGCTATGGTCGAGAACTTATTATTCATTCAATGGTATTGCAAGCAGTTTGAATGACTAACCACGATATAAGAACATACGAAGTTGAAATTATCACAGAAAACAGACAATCCATTGCTTTGATAATCTCGTAACAGTAACGTCAAGATTAAGGGGGGGGGGGGGGGGGTGTTTTGACAATGTTGCAATTGGACTAGTGATCTCTCGAATCCTTTCATGTATCATGATCATGTTGGCTTCTTAACCTATCCAATCTCTCACAAATAGCCTCTCATAAACAAGTTTAACTTGGCAGAGTAGGGTGGGTAAGCAGGGGAGCAGCCCAAATGGCACATAGAGCCAACTAAAGAGGGCCGTTTATAAGGAAGTAGGAACCCACTAGGATGTGAACTATGCAAAGAAAAAGAGCCAACAGGGAAGGGAAGGGAACATGCAAACCAAACAAAAAGGCCAAAAAGCTCTGCTCACCTCGCTCTGAAACTGAAGGCTTACTATTTTACTCTTCCTTTTCCCCTCACCGGGTCTCCATCTCATTCCCCACCACTATCTTATAAATTATTAGTTTCCTTCAATTCAATTCTCCTCCTTTGCTTTCCTTTGCTTTGCATGCATTTCTTTCATGTCCTGAACTGGAAGGACTACTAAAGCCTCATCACCCACATCAAGAATCTCTCTTTTTATCCATGGCGGTGGCCTTATTATTATTCTCTTTTGGACCCTGAAAAAGAGGTCATTCTACACTTGGTAACACATATCTCTTTCAACGTGTCGTCATCAATAACTAATATTTGAAACCCCCAAATCAGCTTCTTTCTGTCAAGGCAATCTTCCATTCCCCCGGCCAGCAGTGCCAGTTTCGGTTAGCAGGTTTCTCTCTGTCACTCCATTCTGTCCACTTCAGTTTTTGGTTCAGTAGGCCGCATGTGGGCTCATTGATCACAGTAGAATTTTCTAGGAGAAGGGTCTCTCCGGTCCCCAACCCTCACTGTCAAAGTTGGGTGGATTTGATCAGATTTTGTTTTCAACTGTTTTCCCTTTCGATGTTAAAGTTTGGGGCTTTCTTTCTTTCTTCCTTCCTTTCCTTTTCTGCTGCTCATTATCACTGACCCTGGATGGCTTGCATAATTGGTTATTGTTGGGTGGTCTTTCTGAATGTGTGAAATGGAAGTTTCTGTGGGAATAAATAGCTTTGTCCTTTTGTTGTTTTTCTTCCTCGGTTCTTCTTCTGAAGTGGGTTTGTAGCTGATTTGTAGAAATTTGTTAGTCTCTTTAAGGGAGATGGGTTGCAGACGCACTGTTTCTGGAATTTCCTCATGGAGAATTGGGAGCCTCACCAGAAATTCTTCTCCTCTTCGCAGTTCCCAGTTGCCTTTCCACCTGGAGGATTAACCAGTTACTTGTGGGATTTGTGTACTTGTATGCTACCGACTTAGCTGATTAGCTGAAAACAGGATTAAGTGCTTAAAAAGGTAAGCTTTTCCTTCTTCCACACATACCCCAAAATTTATCTGTTTTCATGTGCAATAACAGGAAGACATTAATAGTTAGGTAAGATCACTTCCACGGCAGAACCTCCTTCTCTGAATTTGTATCATAAAAGGTTCATTGTAAGGTTAACTAGCTGCTTCCTGTTCTTGTCCTGTAACAGCTTTGCAAACTCTCTTCTTCTGTGCGGCAATGGTGGGGTTCCAGAAGTCTGCAGTAGTAGTCTTAGTTTCCCTGATCATCTCCCTTTCAATTAATCACTCAGAGCAAATCCAGTCGTCCCAGGGTCAAACCCTCATAAGGATTCAACACCTTTTGAACAATCCATCAGTCCTAAGCACCTGGAATAGCTCCACTGATTTCTGCAGCCTAGATCCCACTTCATCTGTTTCTGTGGTCTGCTACCAGGACACCATAACCCAGCTCCACATCATTGGAAACAAGGGAAGATCTCTTCTCCCTAGAAACTTCTCCATGGAATCTTTTGTCACAACTCTGGTAAGTCTTCCAACCCTGAAAGTCCTCACACTATCTTCTCTTGGTTTATGGGGTTCACTACCTGGCAAAATCGCTCGGTTGTCATATTTGGAAATTCTCAACATAAGCTCCAATTTTCTATATGATACCATCCCTGGAGAGCTCTCATCACTGTCTACCCTCCAATCACTGGCACTCGATGATAACATGTTTGCTGGGGAGCTGCCACATTGGCTTGGTTCGCTCCCCGTATTATCTGTTCTTAGTTTGAGGAAGAACATGTTCAATGGGACATTACCTGATTCATTAAGCAATTTGGAGAATCTCAGAGTTCTTTCACTTTCACACAACTACTTCCGTGGTGAAGTACCGGACTTTAGCCGGTTGACCAACCTTCAGGTGCTTGATTTAGAAGATAATGACTTTGGGACCGAGTTTCCTCAGCTCGGGAACAAGTTGGTCACTTTGATTTTGAGCAAGAACAAGTTCAGAGATGGACTCCCTACAGAAATAAGCTCTTACTATCAGTTGGAACGGCTTGATCTCTCCAACAATAACTTTGTGGGCCCATTTCCGCTGTGTTTGTTGGCATTGCCTTCTGTTACTTACTTAAACGTGGGGAGCAACAAGTTCACTGGAATGCTCTTTGAGAACCAATCATGTAGTGGTGAACTGAAGTTCGTTGACTTGTCATTCAACCTTCTAACTGGACATCTACCTAAGTGTCTTCACTCCAAGAAAACTGTTATATCTGATGGAAACTGCCTGGAAACTGGTGATGATCAAAGCCAAAAACCGGTTTCATTCTGTCGCAATGAAGCCTTAGCAGTTGGTGTCATTCCACATATGAAGAATAGGGAAGGAAGAAGCTCTAAAGCAGCAATTATTGCCCTAGGTGTAATTGGTGGAGTTGTTGGAGGCATTGCACTTGTTACTTTGATTTTCTTGTTGGTTAGAAAGGTGAGCGCCTCGAAGGAAATCAAGAAATATCCGACAAGGCTAATTTTGGAGGATGCATCAACTGGTTACCCGTCCAAGTTGCTTCAAGATGCAAGTAAAGTTTTACAGTTTCATCTCCCCTCCTCTATGTTCGCATCCGCTTTACTTTTTGATGATACCATATCCATTGAGACTGAACGAATGACCTTACTGTGCAGTTGAATAACTTTACAATTGGGAGTTGGTTGCGTGATTTTTTCTGTATAAGCTAGTATGAAGTGTTGTTGGATCAGAAATGAAAATCTGGTAACCCATTATGTTTGTTCCACCATGAAGGATATATATCTCAAACAATTAGACTAGGAGCACTTGGCCTCCCAGCATATCGGTCCTTTTCGTTGGAAGAGATCGAGGAGGCTACGAACAACTTCGAGTCATCAGCATTCGTCGGTGAAAGTTCTCAAGGACAGGTAATCTTATACAATTATAAGCACTTTGCTCCCCACTTATTCCCTTACATTAGCCATTAGCTACTCACTTTGCTGTCTATGCTTCATGGTTATCAGATGTACAAGGGTAAGCTGAAGGATGGATCTTATGTAGCAATTATATGCCTGAAAATGAAAAGAAGCTACAGCACACAAACATTCATGCACCATATAGAGCTGATCTCAAAGCTGAGGCACAAACATCTGGCAAGTGCTCTAGGCCACTGCTTCGAGTGCTACTTGGATGATTCGAGCGTCAGCAGAATATTTCTCATCTTTGAACATGTATCAAATGGGAACCTAAGGAGCTGGGTCTCCGGTACAGTCATACTCTAATGAATCAAGGTTGAAAATCCACATCGTAACTTCTCTATTCGAACTGACAAACACTTGTTCGTTTCCACTAATGCAGAGAGGCACTCTAGGCAAAAGCTGAACTGGACACAAAGGCTGGCAGCTGCAATTGGGGTGGCCAAAGGGATGCAGTTTTTGCACACAGGGATTGTGCCTGGTGTATATGCAAACTATCTGAAGATAACAGATGTTCAGCTGGATCAGAACCTTGTGGCAAAAATTAGCAGTTATAACCTGCCATTACTTGCAGAGATCACAGGACAGGTAAAAAGCTCATAAATTTCTGTTCGGATGTCTTTTGTCTTTGTCTTTGCCTTTTCAGTTGACTTGATTGAAGTTTCCATCTACCTCAGGTCGGCCGCATGACTTCTTCAGCTGGCTCCAAGAACCCTGCAAGGTTTGTTCACTAAGTTCCAAGTAGCTTCCTTGGATTCATCAGTTGATTTGTCCCCATAAAATCAGCAATTCGTTGAAAGTGGAATCTCTCTTAGGACCAATCAAGAAGCGAAAGCTGACGTCTACGATTTTGGCATCATACTCTTAGAGATCATCGTGGGGAGACCATTGGAATCTAGGAATGAAGTAGATGCAGTAAAAGACCAAGTAAGATCGATAAATTCCTTCCTTGTCAACATTTGCCAGCTGGGTTCAAACTTTGGAGTCAACATTCAACTAGTGTCATTTCTTCCTCATTGTGCAGCTGCAAGCAGCTATTGCATCAGATGCAGCGACGAGGAGAAGCATGGTTGATCAAGCTGTTCAAAGGGGAAGCTCTATTCAGTCGGTGAAGACGACAATGGAGATCTGCATGAGGTGCCTAAACAAGAACCCTGGGGATAGGCCTTCCGTGGAGGACGTGCTGTGGAACTTGCAGTTTGCTGCTCAATCTCAGAGCGCCGAAGTGTCTCCTTCCTCGCCTGCACAGTTTAATTAACAACCACGTCTCAGCACCCTGTGATAGAATCGCGAACGCAGAATTCTTCAAGAAATGAGTTCAAATATGGCTGTACCATGGAATTGTCTAAATAGTATATAAGCTGTAATTTATATATACAAGATCACCGTAGTGTACCCAACAAGTGTGTATTAAACTATCACATTTTTTTTTTCAAAGTCAGTGTCGAAAAGATAGTCACAAGGAGGAAGAAAGAAAAACGCGGGAGTCGACCAATAGTCGAACTCCCCATGAGAGGGCCTTTTGTGCCACATGATGGGTAGCCCTATTTAGTCAACGAGAAACAAAGCAGTAAGAAATCCAACTGAAATGAGAAGCTAAGCTCTGAGTATCCTCCAGTAGAACTCCACTCCGATCATGCGCCAAGTCGCCTCCCACCATCCCGCCGTATCAATTGTTGTGAATCCCCATGAAATTTGACAAAGACAAAGGTCCCCGATCGACTATTGTGCAATTGAATCTTCACCTGCAAAATGAGCAAACAAAGGTCCCTACTAGGAGAATCCCGACCAAAGAGCCAACAAGTCAACAAAGACACAAGGCAACAATTCGCCCTTAAAATAGAGTACCAGGTTATCAGGAAACCCTAGATAATCGGTACCGGCCAATACACACCTAATTTTTTTTTAATAAAAGGTTATAACATAAATGTAGAAAGAATAATTAAAAACAAATAAAGTATGAAGGATAATTATTAAGGGAAATAAATAATAATAATAATAATAATAAAGAATAATAGAAAATAAAAAATAAAAAAAGAAACACTTACCTGATTTGGATTCGAACGTGGGGTTGGGTTGGGGAACTACGGTTCCAACTTCCAAGTTCCAACCAATTAATGGGAGAAAAGTAAAAACCAAAATAAAAGAATAATAGAAAATAAAAATTAACGATCTATATTCCCTAGGGGTGGGCATTGGTGCGACCGAACCGCTCCGAACCGCACCGCACCGTTTTTGCGGTCAAGCCAAACCGCACCGTAAAACTTGCGGTTTCATTTGCGGTCTGGTTGTCAAGTAGTTTGCGGTTTGCGGTTTGGATTGACCGAAACCGCGCAGTTGCGGTTTAGAACCGCAAACCGCTAAAATCTCAATAAAATTCTCATCATCCAATCCAGCGTGTCTAAAGAGACTCCTCTTCACTTCATCGTTCCATTCGACCGTTCTGAGTCCCGGCTTTCTCATACAACGAGGAAGTCTTCCCGCCGGCGGGGGTGATTTTATCATCGCACAAGCAAGCCTCTCGCCAACGATGCCGGAGCCGAACAACGTTGACCACTTTTGCAATCCATTCCCTCCGCCCTCCCAAGCTTCCCCGTACCTCGCACTACCATTTCTCTCCGACTTCCCCGCCCAGAGCTAAACAATTAACCATCGAAGAATCTGTCCTCCTGCAACTCCAAGTATATATTAGTAGCTGTTAGCTTAACAGGGGATGAGCACCTCTTGTGTTTTATTGATGGTAATTGGTGAACTCCAATTTATATATATTTTATTTATTTATTATGTTAAAGGTATATTTTATTAATTGTTCAAACATCCAGATTAATCAAGCTATAAAATTGGTTTCTTTACATAATTTCGAGTGGGTATAATCGTTAGAAAAATAACTAACTTAATACATATATAATTAGTAATTTTTCGATAGGATCTTAAATATTCATTTTAGTTCGAATTACGGATTATGAGTGTAGAACGTGAATTCAAAATTTTCATTTCAAATATGCATCCATATTATATTGCGGTCGAATATGCGGTGCGGTTTGGACCGCACCAAACCGCTTATTAAAGCGGTTCGATTTGACCGCACCGATTAAATTGCGGTCTAGTATGCGGTGCGGTCCAAATAACATGCGGTGTGGTGCGGTTTGTGTCAATATGGTGCGGTGCGGTTCGGACCGCACCAATGCCCACCCCTAATATTCCCCACTCCCGTGACCGTAACCGTCCCTGTTTCTTCGGTTCCTAATCCGGCGGATCTCAACGACGGCACGCTTCTGAATCGGCGCCGACAGTGCCTCTCCCGTCGTGGACTCTTCATGTAGATGCCCCTTGCTGCTGTTGCTACTGCTGTAGTTCGGAGAAAGAAGTCGGGATTGCAGCGACAGGAGAGCACAAGCCGATGGAGAGGAAGAGGCGTCGTCCATTCTGTGCAGATCTGAAGGGAAGAAACAATGTAAGAAATAGGGAGGAGAGAGGGGATGACTTACAGTTGCCAGTCGGGATGAATCGAGGAAAAGGAAAGGGCAAGAGATCGAGGAGCTCTGTAAATCTAGCCGACGTGGACGGTCGGTCGGAGTCGGCAACGTTGCAGGCTCCAGAAGGCAACCCAGCAAATTGAACTCCGATCCTATTTCGCCACCCAGGTGGTGCTGGTGCACTGCTGTGACTTCCAACTTTCTTCAAACTCTTTTCACTTTCCTTGGTCTGGTCTGTTTTTCTTTTGGCCCTTTTCCAAGCAATTCCGGAATTTTGGCGGCGGATTCCGCAGGAGTCTCCTCCTTCACGGTCGCCTTCAGGTGATGCGATCCTAATCGACATCGGAATTAGGTCTCGACAGAGGAAATTTCTCACTGAATCTTGAACTTTCGCGATTAGTAAAATCGAAACGGAAGAGGAGAGAATCGGGGGAAGCGGCGGTGGGCGGGAGCGGCGGCCGACGAAGTCTAAACGATTTGTTCTAAACTATCACATTAATGCAAGTCATTTGTAATTTTGATGTTGACAGATATCGTTGTTACTTCATCCATTTTAGTAATCAGATCACGGGGGCAGGATACTATGACTACCCCAAAAGGGGTTGGGTTTTTGACACCCCCTGCTGCAGCTATCCACGTGTCCTTCATCTTTGGGTAAGTATTAATGATTATTGTTTTATTGGGAAGTTGTCATTATTATTGCTTTATTGGGAAAATTCTCATAATAATGATGCATGGGAAAGTTCCCATAATAATGATACACGGGAAACAACAATCTTTCATCTCCCCTTCTCTTCCTTTCAAATTTCTTTCCACCAGAACCCTCTCCCGGCGTCTTCTCAGTCCAGCAAACCCTCCCTCCGGCGGTCCACCCTCCGTCGGCCAACTTCCATCAGTGGCCCAACTTATCGTTGCCTCCCTTTCCGCTGACCCTCTCCCGTCCCTCCGTTCCCCTCGAGTCTCCTCTCATGCGACATCGACTTCATCACTTCACACGGTCGGAAATCATCAAGATGATCTGGACGATTTCGTCTCTAACGTCGAGCATATGGAAGACGGCGGCAGAGGAAACGTACCAGTGGAGTGGTACGTGTACCAGTGGAGTGGTACGTGTACCACTGGATTGGTACGTGTACCAGTGGAGTGGTATTTGTATCATTGAAGTGGTACTGCATTGTTGCTCCGTTATTGTTTATCATTGTTATGAAAAATATCATTGCACTGGTATTGTTCTCACTCTAACCTACCTTGTGGATTGCTCGCACCAGTGGAGTGGTACGTGTACCAGTGGAGTGGTACGTGTACCAGTGGAGTGGTACGTGTACCAGTGGAGTGGTACGTGTAATTAATGTACCAGTGAGAGAAATTAATTATGTAATTAATGGGGGTGATTTCGTTTTTCCCCAGATTCTTTCTCTTTTCCAATGTGGTGAGAGACCCGAAATTACAAGATTAAAAAAAATAAAAAACCAGTTTAATTAATACATGCCAATGATTGGAAATAAAATTGGCCAATCATAAAGGGGGTGTCAAAAATCACTACCCCTTTAGGGGTAGTCAGGCTAACCGAACCCCAGATCACGGGTTGCTTTTTTTTTAAGGAAGATCACGGGTTACTACTTACTTTAGTAACACATTCAATATCAAAGTTTGTTTTTCCACTATCATGTCATTTTATAACGTTGAAATTATAGAGTTTATCATTTATCATATTTGGGGATAGGATAAGGTGACAATCTTAAGGGGTTGTAAGATTCACAATCCACTTCATAGCCATCGGATACATTCTCTCTCTTGGCTCTTTTTTCTTATTCAAATTAACGGTTAAGATTAAAGGAAGGGTAGTTTTGAAAGGGAAAAGATTTACCACACTCAATCATTCACTCTACCATATAAATAGAAAAAAAACTTTAACTCCTCCATCCTCCCTCTCTCTCGCAGCCATCACCGTCGCAGAGCCCTCCACCGCCGGCGCCCCTGTCTCCTGCAGCCGCCTGACGAGCCCTCTACCGCCACCGCCTCCGCCATCCTCAGCCTCCCTCCATCCTCTGTTGTTGCAATCCTCTCTTGCCGGCCCGTCGCAAGTCCGCCTCCCACCACCGCGACACAATCATCCTCTCCTCATCGGAGCCCTCTCGCCGCCATTCGTCTCCCACCACTGCCGTCGTCGCGAGGTCCCCCTCTCCCCTCTGCCTCTCTCTCTTGTCATCAACTCCCCTTTTCTAGATCTGGTTTTTTAGTGGTACCATTTTTCTTCTGGTAGCGTACCAGTGACAGTGGTAGCGTACCACTATCATCTGGGAACACTACCATATGATTTTTTGTGTTATTCTCTACTGGTACCGCTATCAGTGCTAGTGGTACGCTATCATTAGCATTGGTAGCGCTACCAGTGCTACAGTGCTAGTGGTACGATACCAGATGGTAGTGATAACATTGTATTGGTAGTGTACCACTAAAAAAAATCATTAGGAGTAGAGTAATGGACTGATACACTCTTTAACACATTGGTACATTTTTTTCAAGTTGCCGGAAGGAGTCTGCCGGAGAGAATTTGTCGAAGAAAGTCCGTCGCAATGATTTCACCGGAGAAAAAGTCTGTCGGTCGATGCGGAGTGGCCGCTGGAGAAAGGAAGAGAGAGAGATTGAGAGAAATATTAATGTATAGGATTTAAATTTCAAAAAATTCCGTATTTAGTATGGATTTTTAATTCCCAATGTAATTAATACAAAAAAAGTAATTAATTAATTTTTTTTCATACCCAAAATGCCCTAGGTTGTCAATCTGACAACCCCATTGGGGTGTATCCCGTCCCTATATTTGTAGAGTCTACTATAGTATGAATTTTATAACTATTTGATCAATGTACTTATAGTAGACCTAAGGTGTGTTTATTTATCATTTTATGCTTTTTGGTATCATATTGTGATTTTCAAGATCAAATGCAATTTAAGATGATATGGATCAACAATTGGATCGAAGATCAAAATGGGTAATTACTAAAAGATAAAAAGATGATTAGTTCATTAAACGAAGCCCAATGAAGAAGTAACTTTCATGAAGTCTTCATATAAGCCCATGAGGAATCTACTAGAAAAATTTTAGCCGAAACCTGGAAAGAAAACCACGTCAGCCCTAAAGAGAACTTTGGCGTTTCTATTTCAAAGTTCTCTTCATACCAACAATTTAGCTCCTTGCTTATCTAAACAATACTTTTAGGTTCCATATCAATATG